TTAAATTTTATATCTATTAAATTTAACATGAAAATGACCATTAAACTACGTGAAAAATGTTGTCAAACCTATATTTTTGTTTAAAGATTCAATAAACTAAATTTTCCATAAATAAATACTGTGAAGCATAATTCATCCTTGCTTTATTACAGTCAAGTGGGTAGCAGTAGTGGGTGCAGACTGCATATGGTAATTTTATGTGGGCGAGAATAACAGGGTGGATTAAGGAGACACTTTGGTCAGAGACAGCCAATCACTGACCACAGAATTAAAACAAAATCCACATCAAATCTCATGCGATTGAATCCCACTCTCCAACGAGGCAACCTCTTTTTAAATAACGGACGGTTAATTTAAGAAAAAAAAAACTTGATTCTCTTTATATAAAACTTTAAATTTAAATTTTATAAATAAAAAAATAAATATTATTTTTTAATAAAATTCAACGTAATTCGATTCTCAATAGTTAACATTTAATATGGTTACCGAATTTAAAAAAAATTAATACAAAAAATAAAAAAGGCAACCACCCCCCTAACACCCCGGCCCCCCACTCCCCGCAGGCTTTTCGTCTGTAAAATGTGGGCACATATCATTTATCACCCCGACTGCGACTCCTCTCTCCACCGCTCTCCGCCGTGTGTCTCACGCCTCCACCACCGCGCGTCATCCGCTCGCTCCTCCTATGACAAGAATAGTTAACCTTATTTAATTAATTAATAAAAAAACTTATATCCGCTACGTACGACTGTAGAGTAAGTCCGGTATGACAAAGTATCCAATATTGCCACGACCGCAAAAAAGGACACGTGGGTTGTTGTTATTTGTTGGAATAGGGGATGGGCGTGTGTTTGAGATGTAGGGGATAACTGGCCTGTCAGTACAGTTTGGGCTGGCCAATGTTCTCCTCCATCATCTCTTCGCTGTTGCAATAAATGAGAAGTTGAGATGTAAGAAAGATACACAGCTTTAAAACGAGGGAGGAAATTCAGAGTTTCGGAGGAGGAATTTTGTAAGAGAAAGGTCGAGGAGGAGGTGGAGGAGGAGGAGGAGGTGGAGGTCGGTTTTTTTCTGGAGAGGAGGAAATGGAGGATATACTGGAAGAAGAAAGCGGAGAAGAGGAGGTGTTAGGATCAAGCTTGACGATGGAGAAGGTGGCGGCGGCGAAGCAGTACATAGAGAATCACTACAGAGCTCAGATGAAGAATATTCAAGAACGAAAAGAGAGGTAGTAGAGGAGGTTTTTTTTATTTTTTTTATTTTTTTCCCCTTTTATATATTTACCTTGCATTTTTTTAGTTCTTGTATACTCTGTTTGGTTGCTGAGAAAATGTTCCCAGAGAAGTGAATTGAAATTTCCGAGTGTTAGATTGTGCTTTAATAGTGAAATCGGGAATGTTTTTGTTAGCTGAACTGAACTGAACTTCACTATTTTTATTCCCCTAATTCACTCTACTCGTAGTAGCATCTTTCACTTTCTATGCTTTTGTTCTGATTGGTCTCTGAGAAAATGTAAGGATTCATTTTCTCTGTTCGAAATTCTGGCACTTTACCTAGCTATGATCAAGCTGTTTGGCTTCGGGAGAGTTTGAGTCTTTCAGAAAACGGACTGTGAAGTCTCAAAAGTTTTGAGTCTTTTTCCTCAGTTTTACAGCAGTCAATGGAGAGCATTATTGAATCTGATCTGGATGCTACTTTCGAAAGTTATTTAGGCTTGTTTTTAGTGTTTACTGCTAAACTTAGTATACGGAAGTTGCTAAAATATTTTGCTTCCATTGCAGACGGTGGATTTTAGAGAGGAAGTTAGCTGCTTCAGATGTCCCAAAGGAGGAACAGATTAATCTGATAAAAGATTTAGAACGAAAAGAGACGGAGTTTATGAGACTTAAAAGGCACAGGATTTGTGTTGATGATTTTGAGCTTTTGACCATCATTGGGAGGGGGGCCTTTGGTGAGGTTAGATATGTTAATCAACAATGACAATGCAAACTATAGTTGTTTCATATATGATGCATCTGCATAGTATTTTCATTTAGAACTATCTATTGTCTTTTGATTCTAATGCATTTATATTCACACATGGTTGATCTGGAGTGAAATTTGCATTTTTATATTTCATACTTCATCTACAGGTTCGATTGTGTCGGGAGAAGAAATCTGGAAATATTTATGCCATGAAGAAGTTAAAGAAATCTGAAATGCTCAAGAGAGGACAGGTGAGATGATAAGTCTTTAGTAAATTCCTATGAAGTTAGATCTATGGACTACTCAACTTTTTCCAATTATTTGCACCATATGTTGCCTGTAGTTTAGAGGATATAGGCTATAGCAATACCCAGTGACATAGTAAGTGAAATAAGTTGATATTTCGAAAAGTGTCTATTGCTACCACGTTCTGCCCTCTGCATATGTTTAACTTCTATATGCAGTCTCCCCTAAATTCTACTCCTATGTTATTTTCCATTGTATACTAATCTAACATATTTGTTTCAACTCCATAGGTGGAACATGTTAGAGCTGAGAGGAACTTGCTGGCAGAAGTTGCAAGCCACTGCATAGTGAAACTTTACTACTCATTTCAGGATGCTGAATACTTATATTTGATCATGGAATATCTTCCGGGCGGTGATGTGATGACTCTACTGATGAGGGAGGACACCTTAAGTGAGAATGTTGCTAAATTTTATATTGCTCAAAGTGTCTTGGCCATTGAATCTATTCACAAACATAATTACATTCACAGGTTGGTTTTCCTCTGTTCTAAAAGCTTAAAGGTGGACTATCTGGAGATTGGTGTTAATTTCTGCTACATGTTAAGTTCCCCCTATCTGAACCTTTTGCGTTTATTATTTTACAGGGACATTAAGCCTGACAATCTTCTTCTTGACAAAAATGGTCATATGAAGCTGTCAGATTTTGGCCTTTGTAAGCCTCTTGATTGTAGAACGTTACCTGCAATCCATGAGAATAAAACCATGGATGATGAAAATATGACGGAACCTATGGATATCGATGGATGTTTTCCTGATGCCGACGATAAGAGTAGTTGGAGAAGTCCCCGTGAACAACTTCAGCATTGGCAGATGAACAGGAGGAAGTTGGTAAGCAGTTTGCCTTACAGTAGTATTGTTCTAGTATGTACATTTGTAAAGTGTATTCCAGATCATATCCTCAAGTAGCAATATGTGATGTATTTGTGGCTGAACAAACCTCGAAATTTTCAGTTTATTCAAGGCAAATAAGTTAGTAGATTATATATCATATCAAATTTCATTCAAGTATTGTCTAGAGAGTTGAGAAATTCAGAAATATTAAAAGTTCTACTAATGGATCTTTCTCTATCTAGTTTCTCATTTACAAATATTTGGCGTTGATTGATACTCTCTCATCCCTTCCTAACATAGTGCATCTTAAACTCCTGATCGGAAGCTCACTGTTTCTGAAGTTGGATTGAAACATTAAAAAACACAGCTTGTTTACATATCATATTGTTTTCCTGGTTGTATGCTTGTGAACTGTGCATAATTCACTTGTTTCTTAGTAGCAACTATCAGGAGAACAATTAACTTCTGATTTCTATGTTGTAGTTCACATGTCCAAACACTTTTCTCACCTTCTTACCACAACTGATCGTTGGTTATTATATTTTTCTTTATAAGGCATTTTCAACTGTGGGAACACCAGACTATATAGCTCCTGAAGTGTTACTGAAGAAAGGTTATGGCATGGAATGTGACTGGTTAGTGTGTATACTCATTTTGCTTTTCAGTTTTTTTCGGAGTTCTCTTTCATATCTAAAATGAAGGCTGCCTTCTTCTATGAATCTTTGTTCAGGTGGTCACTAGGAGCAATAATGTATGAAATGCTTGTTGGATACCCACCATTTTATTCAGATGACCCTATTACGACATGCAGAAAGGTAATGCATTAACCCATCTGTTCGGCACATGTTAAGCTTTGGGGTTCTTGTTATGATATCCATTTCTTACTGACATTATGACTACCATTTCTGGAAGATTGTCAATTGGAGAAATCAACTAAGATTTCCAGAAGATGCAAGGTTAAGTCCCGAGGCAAAAGATCTTATCTATAGGTTGCTGTGTGATGTTGAACATAGACTGGGTACTGGAGGTGCACATGAAATTAAAGTAAGCAGTGTAATTTATAAAATGCTTATTTATTTATTTATTCAGTTATCTGTCCTTATAGTTTTTGACATTCAATTGTATCAGGTACATCCTTGGTTCAAGGACATTGTCTGGGATAAACTTTATGAAATGGAGGCAGCATTTAAACCTGAAGTCAATGGCGAGCTGGACACTCAAAACTTTATGAAGTTTGATGAAGTAAAAATTAATTAACCCTTTCATCTGATCTCGTTTAGTTTGCAAACTGCTTAACTCTCTCTGAGAGAAAAAAACTACTTAATTGTTCCAGATACTTTGTTTATTATATATTGGTTGGTCATGGTGCCATAATAGATTTCCTTGTTCTATAAATTGACTTAGCTTTTTTGGAATTTGTCTTCAGTTGGATCCTCCTGCACAAGCAAGAACTGGCTCAGGATCGTCACGGAAGGTACGTAACAATTGACACAATTTGTATTTTAATATATTCTGTCAGTCTATGACTTGTTCTTCTGCTTTTTTGAACGGTTAAGAAGTTAGTGCGTAAAGTTTGACTAGTTTGTGCATCAAAGGATGTTGGTCTTTGTTTATGCATTAGAATTTACATTTTCCCTTGTTCATGCAGATGCTAACGACCAAAGATTTGAGTTTTGTTGGCTATACATACAAGAACTTTGATGCTGTCAAAGCCCTACATGGTATGTTACTTGTTGCCAACTTCTCAAAAGCTACCATACTTTTCTCTATTTGTAGAGCATTTTATGTTTCAATAATCCACCTATGCCTCTCATTTTGGGCATCTGCAGGTTAGTGATTTTAATCTGCAATTGACATTTTTGCTTATTTCTATGCATGCCTATATGCATCAGAAGGAAAAAGAAAGGGGTGGATGGGGAGGATTGCAACTGCTTTTAAGTAGGATCAGTGAAAGGTGTTGCTAGAATGAACCATAATCTTAATAGTGGAATTAACCTAAATTTTTTTTTTTTAAATTTTCAGGTGGGTTAGGGAAGGGACTCAAGGGTGTTTAGGTAGTCAAGTTCCTAACATCATTCTGAAATTTAGAAGTGAAGTGAGTGATATTAAAATACCTCTATCTTGAGAAAAATATAAGAATTGCACTAAGTACACTTAATAAATCTAGATTGCTTATTTAGGAGGGAAAGGACTTAGTCTTGGACCCATGCCTTGAGATTGAGGATGAAACTAGGACGTGGACCAATCATGGGTAACTAAGCCCAGGAATGGGTAAGGGTAAGTAAAGAACTTAAAAGAGAAATGCTGGGATGTCTTGAATTTGCAGCCGTCAATTTCATGGGCCTTTATAGCCTCTCTGGAGATCACTTTGTTAAGGCAAGGTTTGTAAAAATCCAGGTCTTTACATTGTTAGTTACTTAGGTAAACATCCCACGAGAACTTGATTGAAATAACCTGTTGTGAATTGGCTGAAAATGGTAGGATATATTGAAAAGGTTCAGTCAAATGACTGGCAAAAAAATTCAGAGTAATATCATTACTAAGAAGCATGTAAAGTAAATGCAATATTCAATGCAGGTGAATCTAGGGCAGGTTATTCTACCAAGCGGACGACCGAGGATTCTGAGATGCAGATGCTTACGTCGTCAGGTGATCCCATGTTGCCATAAAGTAACAGAATGGGAACCCTCGTATGTCTACATATAGATATATGCCTGCTCTAATTCAGTTGTTCCTCCAGATCTGCAATGCTAGCACGTTAGCTGCCACACAATTTCTGCAACAACTTCGTCATGTGTACAGCAGTGTTTGAGAGACCGAAGTCCAGTTCTCAGTTAAACTGGTAGAACAAGAAAGTCTCGTTTTCTTTTTTAGCTGAAAAGGCTTTGTGTATTAGAAGTTAGAGCAGAGAGTTCTGAAACTTCATCATCCACTGGCTGCCCAGGTTGGCTATCATAAAATTGCCTCCTCTTGTGGCAGTTTCTGGTCAATTTTTAAATCATGACAAACCCTATAGCCATTTATGGCGCAACGATTCCAGATTGTTGTGTAAACTTCTATTGACCAAAAAAAAATCTAAATTCAGCTTATTTAGCTGACCCATTTGTCTTTTTCCCTCTGCAAATTGCTTGTGTTCTTAATCTTGCATTTTGTATGTGTAAAATATGCGTGTGAGCTTGTATTGTATTTAATTTAAAATTAATTGATAATAAGTGGTAACTTTCTTTAAGGATTTTTTCAATTAACATATCTCTTCATGTGCAAGTCTGTTATGAACAGTTTTTATCAAGCAACTTAATGTGCCCTCAAACTTCAGGTCTCAACGCTGCCGTTCCCAACCATCTTTAAGCAATAATCATAAAATAGGGATCTTTCTCTTGAGAATTGCTGCACGAACCAATAAACAATTCTTTTATCGCATGTTGTCGATGATTTCTCTTTCTCCATGGCATGACTTCAAAAGATTTCTGAAATTATAATTTTGGAAAAACTACACTTCACTCCAAAGAATTTTAGGGCTTGCATTGGCAAGCCTTAGTCATGATTGAGTTGAGTTCACATTTATCCTCCAAAAGGAATCTACACCTACCCCCCTCAAAATTGCTTTTTCACGAGGCATTGTATATATTTAAAATTTTTATGTACTGAAGTATAGAAATGGACTCTTCTTAAAAAAAAAAAAAAAAAAATCAATCATTGAAAGCATGGCACCTAATCTCATACCATCATATCCTGACTTTTTCCTCTCCAGAAAATTTCCTCCTTCTTTGGTCCTCATGGTAATATCCAATGGCGCTCTGTCAACGAAAAACTAGTTTAACCAAAAAGAAATGGACCTTTTTGCTACTTAAAGAAAAGGTCAATGATCATTTTCTCGAAAAGATATGGACTTTTTTAATTAGGAAAGTTCTGATAAAGTTGGAGTAAGTGAGTGAACAAAAATAAATGGGAAGGTCAACCAAGGCCCTTACCCTTTACCTAAACTAACTACAATTACTGCTTACATCCATTTAATTAATTACAATTAACAAATTAATAAATTGTTCAGGTGAGATTTGGACGCATGGAAGACTTTGTCCTCCTTAGGATGGTCGGATTGCACCTTCATATGACATGGCAAATAAGGCATGTAAATTTTGAGTTTGAGTTTGACCCTACCCTACAGTCATTCTCAGGCACCTTTTACTTTCTTTATATTGGAACTTGCTTCAATTATCAAAAGAGACAGAATAAAAAGTAATGGGTTTCTTAATTGAATGATTTCAGATGTTGAATGAGCAGGAATCAACACTAATTATGAGGATGGACAGTGTTAGAGCACTAAGGTGACATTAGAGAGTGCTTATCTGGAACTTCATTGCACAGTTAGACTATTGATATGAATACTTGTTCAATTATTAAAGGAATAAACTTTTTCTTTTGAGGTTTAGTGCTTGGGTTGGATTGAAAAGGTTTAGCCACAGACAAAATGGACAACATTATTGTGGGACAATATGAAAGTTGGAAGCTTTGGAAGACAACTGAGGCTGGTCTTGGAGAATTCAATCAAATGTTTAGAAATTCCAGCAAGCAATGAGTTTCTATTGCAGAAAACCTAACAAGTTGTAAAATTTGTTGTAATGTGTAAGCAAGAAAGTGTCTTTTGCAAGAATGACAAAGAAATTTGACAAAGACTTTTTGAAGATTGGAGGATTGGAAAGCGTTGCAGCAATGGGACGGGTGGAGATGCTTTAATATTCTCTTTCGGATTTGACATCTGTCATCTCTTTCCTTCTCTATCCCTCCTTTGCACACACCAGGCACACTCTCTTTCTCTCACCCTTGTCTTTTCCATTTTATCAAATGTATTTTTCCTTATTATTAGTATTTTCTTTTATTCTCTTCCTTCCCCATTAGTCCACTCCCTTTCATTTTTTCTTGGTAATTTCTCTATGCCCTTTCTTGGTTTCTTGGTCTTTAGCTTAGTCTCAAGATCCAGATATTATTATTGTATTGTGGAAGAGGAAAGGGATTAAAAAAAGAAGTCTTTACTCTTGATACTCAATCACATTCGAGCTGTTATTTTGCATATGGTAAGCAAGACCCATCTCTTATTTTTCTTGATTATTTGATTTTTTTCCATGGCTCACTCTCAGATGTTTAGAAGGTCTTTGCAAGAAGCAAGAGAAAGAGAGATCGAAAATAAGACTTTAACACCAGCTGAAAAAATCAGTTAGTCACTCTTTTGTACTCCTTTCAGCTGTTTTTTCACCTCCTTTTGTTGGTAGTAGTTCTGGACGATTATTTGAGAGAGTGAAATTGGGAAAGGACGGGAGGGTTGCCTTAGATCCAGGGAACTCTTAATGATTTGTGAAAAAGGGTACCATCTTTTCTAGGGTTTTCCTGTGATTCTTGGGACATCGCTTTTCCTGGGTTCTTTCTCATGACCCCTTTTCTTCCTTTTATTTGGAGCCGAGGGGTTGATTTCTAATTCGGTTTAATTCTTGTTTTCTTGTATTCTTTTTTCTGATTTTTTTGTGTTGATATTAAGTTATTTTCTCGTTTTTTCTCTTTAACTATAGTTGATGAAGGTAGATATGGAAGAGTCCAGAGAAGAAGTTAAAAGGACTTAATCAAGGTCTAACCTATCTATTTTGGGTTATGATTTCCACAAATGGAAGTTTGGATCCACTTGTTGTTGACCAGATCTAACCCATTTCCCTTTCACCACCTTTTGTTTTACCCACAATTTGCATCCCCTGAGTCTACTTCCTCTTTTTGGAATATCAAGGGGTGGAAAATGGTTTCTTAAAGCCTACCGTTCACATTCCAGCATCATTCTTTATTAGAAAAGAAGGTGGTGGATTACTTGAAATATGACAGGTTGTGTGATTTTAGAGGGGTTGAAGGGTAACTTTTTGTGCTGCCCAGAAAGGGATTTTGATGGAGGAGATGTCTCCGGCGGTTGCAGTGCCATTTGGATTAGGTAATTCAGTCTGTGAAAACTCAACCTTGACCTCTGATATGGACATCACTAGAATTACAATTATGGCTAACCCTGCTGGTCTGTTATCTGATTCTGCAACAAAGGCTGCAACCCAGCCAGCTGCTGAGGAAGGAATGGGCTGTGACCGTTCTGAAATGGAGACTGAAGAAAGTGTTATTGGTGTGCTGAGGAGAGAAGAGGACAAGGGAGGGGGAACTCCTTTGCTGGACATGATAGCTGATAGTAAAGATAGTTGGATTACTAGTGATGATGTTATTGCCCAGCAAAGCGAGGAGGATGATTCCTTGTCAGTTGAGGGTGACCAGATCCTGGATGGCTCTTGTTCGCTTTCAGTTGTGAGTGAGGCAAGCAGCCTATGTGGAGAGGATATCTTGGGTTTTGAGGCTATTTCAGTGGTAGGAATACCTGGTTCTTTTGGCAATGGGAGGAACATCTGCAGTGTAGATATTATTCCAAAGGCCATGGGTTTTGTGGAGTCAAATGTTGAGACAGAGATTGCAAGTGATCCAATTGCTGTGGCAGTACGCCTTGATGAAGATATTGGAAATGGGTCTCAGATACAACAGCAATCTGCAGTTGTTCTCCAACTGGCTCTTGAAAGGGGGACAAGCACAGCGGTTGCACGGAGTGTGTTTGAGTTGGAATCTGTGCCACTTTGGGGATTCATGTCTATTTGTGGAAGAAGACCTGAAATGGAAGATGCAGTTGCAACAGTGCCCTGTTTTCTGAAGATTCCAATTCAGATGCTAATTGGGGATCGAGTACTTGATGGCATAAGTAGGGCCTTCTCTTGTCAGACTGCTCATTTCTTTGGGGTTTATGATGGCCATGGAGGGTCACAGGTATACATATACTTTTTTCCCCATTCATCTGTATCATCTTTAGCTCTTTCCATTACCAGCCAATTTTAAATTGTATATCCTGATATCAGTAAAATTCCTTATGTGCTTGCTTTTATAAAGGTAGCAAACTACTGCAGTGATCGCATCCACCCTGCTTTGGCTGAAGAAATAGAGTTGGTTAAGGAATGCCTAGGTGATGGAAGCATAACAGATAGTTGCCAGGAGCAGTGGAAAAAGGCATTCACTAATTGTTTCCTTAAAGTTGATGCTGAAGTTGGAGGACAAACTCAACAAGAACCTATTGCCCCTGAAACAGTTGGTTCAACTGCTGTTGTTGCCCTAATTTGTTCTTCTCATATTATTGTGGCAAACTGTGGAGATTCAAGAGCTGTTCTATGTCGTGGGAAAGAACCCATGGCATTGTCAGTTGATCATAAAGTAAGGGACCTTTTATTGTATCTTCTGTCATCTGTAGTTCATGATCAACTCTGGGAAACTTATTCTCTTATGTATTATCTCATTTTAATTTCTTAAGCCAAATCGTGAAGATGAATATGCAAGGATTGAAGCAGCTGGAGGCAAGGTCATACAATGGAATGGGCATCGTGTTTTTGGAGTTCTTGCTATGTCAAGGTCCATTGGTATGTGTTCCTTAAAAGTAACTATTTTCTCTTTTGTTGCCATGTTTTCAATGTGATTTGCATTTCTCACCAAGCATTGGGGCATGGGAAGGTGGTTTAGCAGTGTAATAGAGATGTTTTTACTCATGGCAAGGGATTTCTTTTTGTGCCTCAGTTAGGTAATTAGCTTGTGAGCTGTGAGAATCAGTGAGATGGGATGTGATCTAGGCATTAGTTATTAATGCGTGATGCTCTCTCTACCTATTACAGTAGCTAAACTATAACCATGTTTGGAGAAGTGAAACAAAGTTTCTAACCAGTGTGCTTGGATTTCTCACTCTAGCTTGTAGCAATAAGTTCCAATTATTTTGTTGTTGGGTGTGCCTATTGTAAAAGTACTTGTCAAAAAGCTGATTTATTGACTGGTTTTTGCTATATTCTACTGATTCGACTCTGGAGAATTGATTTTTTTCAATATGCATAGAGCTTGACCAAGTGTACAAGTGCAGGTGTCTTGTTAGTTGAATAAAAACTAAGACTGCCCCCAATAAGGGAAAATATTTGGAAACTTAATTCTGTTATTGGTGACTATACCCTTTCTTTGGCTATCCGTGATAATTTTTTCTTCATGCTAATGCATAATGTAATATGACTTTGAGTGGTGGTTGCTAGAAAGTTCCTTTCGTGGAGCTTAATGTTGTCTTATTCAGAATTAATATTTATATCCTAGAAAATGCAATATTTAATCTTCTCTTGTCAGTTCGTTGCTTGTGGGTACTAATCACTAATTGACTGGCCAATATACAATTTAAGTTTTGGAGCTTGGGGTTGGGTTATTGCAGGGGATAGGTACTTGAAGCCATGGATCATTCCTGAACCAGAAGTAATGTTTATCCCTAGAGCAAAAGATGATGAATGCCTCATTCTTGCCAGTGATGGTCTATGGGATGTCATGACAAACAAAGAGGCATGTGACCTAGCTCGGAAGCGAATTCTTCTCTGGCACAAAAAGAACGGAGTTACACTTACTCCAGAAAGGGGAGAGACTGCTGATCCTGCTGCTCAAGCTGCAGCAGAGTATCTCTCCAACTATGCTCTCCAAAAAGGAAGCAAGGATAACATCACCGTGATTGTTGTGGATCTGAAAGCTCAAAGGAAGTTCAAGAGTAAAACATGATCACTTTGACCCTCATTCCATCCTCATTCTCTTGATATGCCATATTTTTCATATAATCCACTATATAGTTTTTTGCCCATTTGTTTTTCACTAGGGCATTGTGGCTTTATGACAGTCTAAATCTGTGTAGCATAGAACACACTCCACTCTATAACTTTCATTACCTTGAAGAATCTTGATGCATGGTATGCCGATTTCTGGCTATGTAATCTTTAGCCGTGCGTAGGTGTAGGAGAGTATGGCAGTTCCATGCTTTTGACATCGATGATGAAATTGTATTTGTTCCACCTCCGAGTTAAAAGGTGCCCCGCGAGGATCTGCTCTGTATTATTTCGAACTGCATGGTGCTTATCTTATAAAAGAATTTGTCTAAGTTTGAAACACAGCTTAGTTCATTTCACCTGGAGATTCATCATGTCACCACCAGTAAGAATGCAAGATTATAGCTCTTATTATCAGTCCCAGATTAGTGTAATGATTTTAATTTCATGACATTTTCTTAAAATTTATTGCTGAATAATCTACCAAATTAGCAGAAGTGGAGATGAAATACAATTATAATAAAAATAGCCACAGATTACTGGTCTCCAGTGAAATATTTTATGTTTGCATTACTGTAGTATGATAAGTTATAAAAGCTGTAAAGTTACTGCATCTGGATTCCCAATTGAGGGCAGGAGAGATCAAATGGGAGAGGAGGTTCAAAACTCATCCTAGTATTTTCTGTATGCTAGCTCCTTCACAGCCTCAGCCAGATCTTTCTCATTTTGAATGCTCTGAACCCACCTCGCGTTGATGTGGACCCTCTCAATGCTCTGCTTCAGGGTTCTGGCAATGGAAGGCTTTGCCCTGGTTGCAAAGAACTCCTCAACTTCCTTAGCTTTCTCAAGTGAAGCAAACTGCAAGAAGCCATGTACAGAAGAAAAATAAAAACACAATGAAAAAAAGGGAAAGACGAGGTCCGAAAAGATCAGTGATTAAAGCATGGAGAGGAAGGATGATCTGAGAAATTAAGAGAGAATGGGAAAATAGATGGCTGGGACACAAACCGGAGAGACAACAGCACTGACGAAGCGAGTTAATAGAAATCCAGAACCATAGGTTTGAAAGATCAGATCCCAGTTCTCCTGTATCCAGTTATTAGAAAAGAGAAAAAATTGGTGACAGATGTTAGTTAATAACATAGACTGACCAGGGCTAAGTGCAAAAATTGCTGAAAAGCATTTCCTTTTATTTTATGACTAATTCCATCAAGATTATGTATTGCAAAGAGATTAGCCATACATTCACAAGCTTTGGAACATTCAAGAATTGATTTCTGGGCAAAGTTGAGATACTGTAAATTATTCAGGTACCTTTCTTTCTTTCTGATTCTTAACAGTTTTGTAGTTAGTCTAATGACTTTTTAATAAACAAAGACAATGTTACGCAACAAGTATTAATACTTCTCTACAATGCTTAGAGTAAGTCCTTTTACCTTCAGCCATTTCCAGGCAGTTTCACGTCCTTCCCTACAGACATAGAGTCCAAACACAGCATCTTGGCTGCGAACCTAAAATAAATGGGAGATGAATGTAAATATCATCAAATGTCAGAGAATGTAGTTTATCCTTATAGACGTTAATTATCAAGCCAAAAGTTAAAATACCTCAGATGATAATAAAAAGTTAAGAACTTCAAGAACAATAACCTCATCTGGACAACTCGCTAATGCACCTACACCAGACAAAGGAAAAATAAATTATTACCAAAAAAAAAAAAATATCCTAAGAGACTCTGATCATCCGCAACACATTAACAGGTGATTTATCAATACTTAGAATCCGAGTTTTCTCCTGGCTTAGATCAGTCTCCCTATAAACTCTCAAAAGAGATTCAAAACCCGATCTATTCGTTGTGTTGACTTTCTGCATCATGGCAATGTATGCTGCCTGCAATCATAGTAAATATAGTCAAGGAGGATCTTAGTTAATTGATTAGTATTCTACTCTACCAATACAACCGAATTGACAACCTTTCTTGTATCAGGAGGAAGAAGGGGTGTATTTCTGTCATCCAAGAATGCATTAAACCTTCTAGTTGCTTCATCCAGTGTTTGTTCATCCCCAAGCTCAGCAAGGGCAATCAAAATTTCTCCTCTCAACATTGCATCCAGATGACTCTCACCCTTTTTAGGCTCCCAGCCCAGCTTCCTGTTAGAAATTTCAAACATAAAAGAGAACTGTAACAGTGTGAAAAAAAGAAAAATGCTGTTTTTACCAGAGAATAATTTGTACTTCGGATCTATCCATATATAAATAAGGTGTCTATTTTGTTTTCCTGATCAAAAATAGTTGTCTATTAACTTATTTAAGATTGATATCATTATCATATTTCAAATAACAGACTTCAGGATGAAATTAATAAATGCAGCAGCTGTTGTTACTAGTACACAATATCTAAACTTACTCAGCAGAATACTGAAAAAGGTTAATAAAAAATTGTTTAATGTTGTCTATCAGCTCTGGTCTTGCATCAGCTGCAATCTTGCCAACTTTGTAACTTATCTGAGAAACAACGGATCCATAATCATGAATATGAGCATAAAGGAAATAAAGTAAAATGAAAGGAGGAGGGGAACATTACAGAAATCAAGTTAGAGAGCACTGTATAGTCTGGCTCCTCCCTGTAGGCACCCATCAAGGCAAGCAAGGAGGTCAAAGACAGCTGGCGTGCCATACAAAGTGCAAAAGAATCATCCAGAATGCCTGTTGATGGAAAATGTAACATTAACATCTAAATTTTACCACTTAGGATATAAAAGTACCAAAGTAGATATTCAAATTACCAAATCTGTCAGTTGCAGTCAAGTGTTTGTTCTCTATTGCATGTCTCAGTTTAGCTGCAAGTTCCTCGTCATATTTCACCCTATAGAAACCAGTCTGGTCCACATTAAGCTTTATCCATGAACATGCATCTATGGGGCAACCAAGGGACTCCATCGTAAGAGTTTCAGACTTAGTTTGCAACAGGAAGTTCTTTCTCTTGTCATATGAACCACAACATAATGTTATGGGGACAATCCATTGCCCATCACCAGAGGAACCACTAGACAAGAATTGTGACTGCAATTATTACAGTAACCATTAGAACAAATTTTCAATGGCATGGAAATAAAACTGATATATAGTAGCACAGCTGGTAAGAAATTGAAATTTTGAATCAAGTAATATCCATTAAGAAGTTTTAATAATTGCATAAAACCTGCTCAAATTCCAATTTATTATCTCTGGCTTTGACAGAGACAACAGGATAACCCTTCTGCTTTGTCCATGAATTCATTAGCTTGTTCACAGGTTCACCAGATCCCTCCTCAAGGGCAGCCCATAAGTCTTCTGTCTTTGCATTTGAGCAAGCATATTTTTTTATATATGAAGCAAGTGACCTCTGATTGCAGAAATGATTCACGGTTAAATAAAATGAAATTTAGCCTGATATGTTAAAAAAGGAATAACAATATTTCCTCAATAAAAAGAATAAGAAGACCAAAAAAGGAGAAGACAACTTGGATGAATTCAAAGTAAGAAACCAGAAATACCTGGAAGGGTTCAGCACCTAAATAGCTTTGTAGCATACGAATAACTGATGCACCCTTTCTATAGCTTATTGCATCAAATATCTCATCAATTTCACCAGCATGATTTATGTCCACCTACAAATAAGAATATAAGATAAAATGGTGTAGGAACACACAGTTGCTTCAATCCTCTAATGTGCATAAAATATTGCACTTGATGCTCTCCTTTACCTCAATTGGGTGGGATTCCTCAAGCCCATCCAACCTGAGACCCTCAGTTGATTCATCAAGAAATTGAGTCCATATTTTCCATTCTGGAAACAAGCTATCAGTTGCTAAGTAGCTTACCTGAAAACAGACAAACGTTTAAAATTATATTTCTCTAATGCATGCTTTGATAATAGAATCAGGCATAAAAACTCAAGAACCATACCCATGTTGCAAAACCCTCATTCAACCACAAGTGGGTCCACCACTCCATTGTTACAAGATTACCAAACCACTGGTGTGCCAGTTCATGAGCCACCACAGTAGCAACCTTAACAGGAACCAAATAGAATAGTCAAAAATTTTGCAGGTTGGAAAAAAAGAAAAAGAAAAAAAGAAAAAGAAAAGGAGAGACAGTGATAGCAACATTGCAACCACATTACCCTCTGTTTGTTAGCAGCTGCAGAATGCTGATTGTCATAGAGCAATGCTGTTTCACGGTATGTAACCAAGCCATAGTTTTCCATGGCCCCAGCAGCAAAATCAGGGATTGCAATCATATCCAATTTGGGAAGAGAGTATGGCACTGCAAAGTATCTGTAAAAGTTAATTAGCTAGATTAGCTTGATACTGAATACTAGAAAGGAGAATATAAGCTCATCTCTAAAGTATAAGAGCACAAAAAGAATGATCAAAGCCTTTGCTTTCTTCTGTCAGTTAGAGACATGAAAAAGCATGATTACTGATCAACATATTAAGAAATAGATGATGGCTAAACATACTCTTTATATAATTCAAGAGTCCTCACAGCAACATCTAGAGCAAATTTCCCTTGATTTACCTTCCCAAATTGAGAGTACACTCGAACTTTGACCCCTACACAGAGTTGCAGGTAAGTACAGGCAAAGGGCCTTATCAACATAAGAAAGGAAACGAGGTATGATGCTATGATAATACCATCAGATGTATGATCTTCCACATAATCAAACAGACCAACAACAACTGCTACCAAATATGTGGACATGATGGGTGATTCTTGATAGGAAACTGTCTTTAGAGGTCCATCCACTTTCTCCTCACTGACAGGCATGTTCGAAAGGGCCACTAGTTCAGATGGCACTTCTAAAGTGATCTTGAATGTAGCCTGCACCACAAGTGTTGGAAGAAATGAAACCATGAGTAATAATGTAGTAGTAACAACAGAGTAATGAACTCAAATAGTAATATCAATTGGCAAAGCAGGATCCTATAACAGCAATACAAGAGAAAGAGGAGAAGGAATGGACAATCTGACAAGACCTTGCAAGCAGGTTCATCCCAACATGGAAAGCATCGTCTAGCATCAGCAGGCTCAAACTGTGTAACGGCCATGTTCTTCTTCTCACCATTATGCTCGTAAGTACTGCTTAGAAATAGATCATGACATGAATAATACAATTTTTCTTATATTTAGCACAAAAAACTGTAAACAATTAAAAAGATTTTCATATTTACACTTATTGAACGTCAATATTACTGAATTGAATTGAATTACAAAATTCCAAAACCAAATACCAAAGGAGTCTTTATTATTTTGCATTTTCCCATCAACCAAACATAAGCACCAATGAATTACCTTCTATAGAAACCCTTCATTTTGTCATTTAAGATCCCTTCAAACCAGATAGCCAAAACTCCGACTCCAATTGGAAGTATTTCGCCAAATTCCAGCACCAGAATCTCATCTTCTTGAATCAACTCGATTTTAGATGGCCTAAATAACTGTTCATTGCATACAGCAAAAATGATATACCATTAAGTTCAACAAAATCAGCACGAAGGTATGTTAAAAGAGCAATAATTTTGAATAGAGTGAAACAAAATCCAATCTTTCTTCAGATCAAATAATGTTAAAGTGATGCTCGTTCAATCAGCTAAAAATGGTACTAAAACAAAGAAAAGAGAAAGTTGTCGAGATCTGGAGCACCTTAGAAGAGCCTCGGGGTGAGAATGAAACGGAAGCGTTATCGATGGAAAGTTCGGCCGCATTAAGCACGATAAATCGAGTATCGGCGACTATATCAAGGTCGATGTCGAGAGAACCTCCGAATTTGCAGGCGGCGAGGTCCGGTTTCAGCCGGATATCGTAGCGTTTGGGGACGGCAAACTTGGGGAGGCGGGCCTGCCTTCTGAATTGCTCCATTCTCTCTGATTTGCGTGCTCGCTGTGAATCCAATCCAAATTGTTCACTTGAAACAGAAGACTTGCAGATAGACCTGGCAAACGGGCGGGTTGGGTCGGGTTAGGGTCGGGTGAACTCGGGTAACGGGTTAGACGGGTTGAGTTATAAACGGGTTGCGGGTTGGAAACATCTAACCCTAACCCGATCCTAACGGGTTACGGGTTAACCCGCGGGTTAACCTTATTTCATTCCTTATAATTATTTTTCGTTAATTTTATTATACACAAATAAAATTATATATATCTAAATA